TTATTATAACAAAATAGGCAGTTATTGTGGGTAAAATAGTCATTAAAATCTGACCCCTAAGAACACACACATTTTTAGGCTACGAATCACTTTCTCATTGCCCTAATGACCATCTCTGCAGCTGCTTTCTGTATGCCAATGGAAATTTGGCATTCCTCTGAAAAATATAAGGTTTCCTAGCACCTAAACATACTTTAGGCTCAAAAAAATGTGATGACCATTATCTATAAACAATTTCTGTAAGACACTATAAATAGTGTTTTACGAGGAAGATTAAAAACATTACACATCTTTGTCCCTAGCAATTTTATTGGCAAAAAATGAAAAAAATAGATTATAAGAATATCCATATGAAATTATGAAAATGAATATCCCTTGAGGAGTAGTAATGGGAGTTAATGAAAATGTTAACTCAGAATTTGAAAGTTTATCTCTAACTGCCTGGAAAGGAAAAAAAAAACCCAAAACAAAAACAAAACCCCAAAAAACCCACCCCAAAACTGTGAGAATAGAATTTAACTCGGAAAATAAAACCTGAAATTGATTGCCCTGACCAAACCATGCTATTAAAAGTTAAGCGTGCAAAGTTACTCATGATTTACAACTTCCTTGAATACAACTTTTCTTTCAATTGTTATGAAATTTTAAAAGAATGTCTATAAAGCTTTTTTGAAAAATCTTTGAAAGTTACTTTCCCTTAAACATTAAGGAATTTTACCAAGCAATTCCCTCCCACCCCCACCCCAAACTAATAGCTGGTCAGGCCATTCCACTGTCATGTTTGAAAAATGGCAAACCAACAACACACAATAATACAAATTATTTAAACTAAGAGAGACACCAAATGTAAAGCATTAGGGGAACTGCAGAATGTGATGGTTAGGGTATGAACCACGCTGGACAGAACTAGAGGCAGGCTCCACTGGAAGGGCTTAGAGTCGTCAGATGTAGTAGGTGATGTCAGTTAGAAAATGAAAAGTAAAAATCTGTTTTCATAATTTTTCCTTTGCTGGAACCCAGATGTAAGGCCCAGACTGCTCCTCTATGATTTGTTTCACTTGGTTGTAGATTTCTTCCAGTGTCTCTCCTTGGACAATAGCTGCAAAACATAACGTGGCAATCAGCAATCATCCTTCTCAGCTCCGTACAGAAACCAAGATGTTCCGAGCCAAGCTGTTCTTTTTTCTCAGAATGGCAAGGGATCGCTGAAGGAACGGACACCCACTAGGATTTCTGGTTTCTGTGCTGGAGTGAAGCACATTGTTGATGGCATTGCAGGACACACAAAGCACCATCTGTCCCACTCAGAGGCTTGAGGTTAGGAAGTGGTTTTCCCTTTACTGCAAGTATACACATACAACTGAGGAGTGTTTTTTGCCTTTCCTAACCACGTTAGAGTCTGAGTCAAATCACATCCTCCAGTATTCTTTTTGGTCCAACTTTCATGTGTGTTTCCAACACAACAAGGCAAGACAGAGTACAGGGCTGTGTCATCATGCAGTCAGTCTGAGGCCTGGCTTGGTGTAACGCAGAACTCCTCAGCTGGATCCTGAAACTTCATAGCAAGGCTGGCTGACCTTGGGATTCCTACCTGCTAGCACTAGCTTTGCTTTTGGCCAAAAAGAGGAGGAACTCATGGATTTTGTTGCCCAGCCAACAGATTCAAGCTTTATAGACAACAGGCTTCCTTATATAGTTAAAAGTGCAATTTGTATTCAGATGGTGTAAGTTAGATGTTTTCTCCAAGGTTAGAAAATAATTAGAAATGAGCCAATATGGATGTGTTCTGACATACCAGAGTAAAGTACGGTCTGGTGAGAATGAGGATGAAGTCTGAGCAGTTCTTACAACACTTCAGTCTGAAAATGCAATCACCATGAGACAGCAGCCTCTTTTTAATTAGGATTGCCACCTCAGTGCTGATAATCCGAGAAACAAAGTTTAGCATGAAAGATAACTCTGGAGGCATGTCACTCACTCTTTTGTGCGTTAATATATTACTGCTGCTTCCAAGCTTCTCTTTCATGCAAATTACTTCCTTTTTATTCCTACTTATCATTCCTACTTATCATTCCCATCTCTTAGAAACTTTCTCCCCATCTACAGCCCATTGTCATAGTGCCCGTGGGAGGAAAAGGCTGTTCAATTATTATAGCTCAAGTGTAATGTTCACAGCACAATAGTTCACTAGAAAGATTCAGAAATGTCTCTGCAATGCAAATAGCCATAAGCTTCAACTTCTCTCCAGCTATGTTTAACCACACCTCTTCCAAAGCTCAATACCCTCAAAACAGAAGATGGATGCACTCTTCATGTGCAAAGTTTAAGTCTGTTTAAACTTACCCTGTTAATGAAGTTGATTTCAGTTACCCAACATGATGTGGTATTTTTTGACAGATTAGGGAATGCTCACACATTCTGTTTTACCACCTGACTCATATGGGTGGCAGCCTCCAATATGTAAGCAATAAGTGGGATTGTAATGTCTTCAATTATCTCAAGCAGCTTCAGAAAAGTTGGTCTCCTCTCCCATGTAGTTAGCGATAGGATGAGAGGAAATGGGCTCAAGCTGCGCCAGGGGAGGTTTAGACTGGAAATTAGGAGAAATTTCTTTACGGAAAGGATGGTCAAGAATTGGAACACGCTGCCCAGAGAGGTGGTGGAGTCACCATCCCTGGAAGTGTTCAAAAAACGGGTAGATGTGGCACTTTGGGACGTGGTTTAGTCTAGTCTACCCTTGATTGGTTTAGAGTGGACTTGGTAGTGTAGCTTAATGGTTGGACTGGATGATCTTAAAGGTCTTTTCCAACCTAAATGATTCTATGATTCTATGATCAAAGACAGAAGTCTGACCATGGCTATCTTCCTTTGTCAACAAGCCTTATACTTCTGAGAAGAAACATGGCCCGGAGCACTAGAGCTCTTAAGACGACCCTTAGTTTTTGAAACATCTTGTTATGTCCCTTAATTTCCTGAAAAAGTGTCCTACCTAATACCCTGAGACAACCTGGGAGAATACCAGCTACTAAATAGAGCAGACTGTTGCATTCACAGCTCTGCCCACATAAGATGTGGAAGAAGGAACTGGACAAAGGAGTCATGTCACAGAAAGGAGGCGAATGGGGCAGCAAACACCAAAACACTGCAAAAGAGAACATAACAGGAAGGAAAGGAGCGAGCATCTATCTAGGACAGGAACAGAGAAGGCTTATTTCTGTTGTCCTGAAAATCCTGACTTGATCAATTCTCCTCCTACTGCAAGCCACAATGCAAACAATTAGCACAGTTTGAGTGCTTGCAGCTCATCCCTTGGCTGTTACAGTTAGGTCCATGGCATGAACAAATTTGATTTCCTAAGTACGATAATGCTGTAGTGCTCAATTTCCAGAGCTTAATGAATTACCATCATTCTTTACTTCCTGATTTAAAAAAAAAATGGAAATTAATCTTTTTCTGCAGGGAGCTTTGCTGAACAATCTCAGCTCTGCAAATAAAAAGCTTTAAGCATGCAATATATCAACAAAGCACACATCTGCATTTACAATACCTAGGAAAATGGTAGAAAGTCTCACAGTTTTTAAAACCTAAATTAAGCTCCTGGTAAATTTTTGTATATATTGCATTAATTGATCAAATTGAAATCAGTGCAGAGGTACTCAGATGGCTCTATGCCTCAAAGCAATCACAGATTATCCAGAAAACCAAGTTCAGCCTTACGTCAGCAGTGAGGCAATTATTATTTTACAGCAAGCAATAAAATTTCAACTCTGGCAAGGGAACAGTCCCAAGCAAAACACACCTGTGAAGTGTTCAGTAAATTCTTGCTCCAGTTTCATGGCTCTCTCAAATGTCTTCCTGGCTTGCTCTTCCGTTAAGCGTTTATTCATTTCCCTGAAATTGAAAACATTATACATTTAAAAACTACTATCAAATACTTGGAGTCTTTTGAAATAAGGTTTTAAACTGTTGTCTGAGTATTAATCCTAATAAGAGGCAGCCTCCTAAATGACACACCTAAGCAAAGCTTGTAGTGGGAATGAGCTGTTCCAACACTATGTTGCATGGAATTTAGCACAATGACATTTGTTCTCAAACACTTTAATTTGGATTAGGAGTCCTGTCTAAAAGTCCCTAGAAATTAAATATTGTTTAAAATGCAAATATTACTTCACATAACTTGCAGCTGGCTTTTCAAATACAATGACAGTCTCAAATAATTTAGCCTGAGGGACTTTACTTTTACTCACATGATATTTTCCACTGTTTTGGGTTTAATAAAAATGGAGATTGGGTACAGCTGGGCAATCTGCAACCTTTTGATCGCATTACCAGAAACATCAAGAATGCAATGTTTACCCTAAAAAGTGAGAGAGAAGGGAAAATGTCACTAAGCAAAGTTTAAGTCACAGGTATGCATAGCTAATAATTTAGAAGAAAAAACATGTCTCCGCTGAAGCCAACAAAATTAAAGCACTTGCATCAATGATATTACAATTTCACCACTTTGGCACAAGGTCTCACAATGCTCCTCTGTTGGGATCATACACCAGTCGAGATGTTCCTGACCCTTCTTCCTTCCTTTCTCCACCAGAGGTTGCAGCCCAGTCAGCAATGCACAATCATCCAGTGGAACAGCTGTACCTCAACCACACCACCAAAATGAATTTTAATTGTTTTTTTTTAAAATAACTTGAGGATCCTTTAGGGAGGTGACCATGTCACAGATGCAGCTTAGAGAGGAGTCAGATGACTTAACTGGCATACCTGAGGGAGTAACCACCCCTGATGGCAGGGACATACGTTGGAACTGTTAGATGGAACTGAATACAAGCACTTTCCTCCCCCCAGGTACCATACAACAGAATACCAAGTTTGAGATGGTGAATGCAATTTATTTGGGCTGATTATTTTTTTATCTCTTGAGAAACAAACATAACTTCACCGTTCCTTGGGCAGTTGGAAGGGTTGGTAGGGCTGCTTTTCTCCCCACCTCTATTCTCCCACTATAAGCAAATTTCCAGTTCTTTGGGATATCTCATCTCAAAGGCTCTTCCTGTTTCTCAGCTACTCTCATCTCTGATATGCTCATTTCCACCTCACACATTTTTATTTCTTTCCTTTCTGAGCAGCATATGAGTAATTTGGCATACCACCATTTTAGAAAGGAATGGGGGCAGAGGAACAGAAAACCACCGTCAGGTGACTAAAATAAGAAAAGCTTTTTCTTTAGCAGGAGACCAATGAGAATGGCAGAATTCTGTGAGCCAGGATACAAACCCACAAGCACCATAAAACCAAAGGTTACTCATATCATACAACACACTTGCTGAACTCCTGAGAGATCATTCCTGGAGGGCATGCTGAAGAGCAAGGAAGTGACTGCAGTCTGAAATGCCTGACACATTTCTGCTTCCTGGCAGAAGAGATCACTAAGATCATTTACATTTGATCTCTTGCACAACAAAACCACCGAATTTTATTTCAGGAATTCTTAGAGGGGATAGAAGCCTTCTTCCCACATGAACAATACACATCTGCTTGCTTTCAACTGATGATAGCTGTTTCCCAGATCCAGTCCATGGATCTGGATGCTGACCGGTATAATTTAAGAAAGGTGTTTGTATGTTCTAGCAGAGTATTTTACTACGTGCGCTGACCTGTCCAAATCTTTCAAATAGTTTGTCTTTAAATGCGGCACATGCTCTGGGAATTGAGAATTAAGAGCATTACCTGGTCCATTTTCCTTTTGGGGATAAGACACTTGGTATTTGCTGTGTTTGGCCCAACAACTTATGCCAGGTGCCGAAGGATTTTGGGCAAAGCGTGGAGGACTAGATTGCCAGCACAGTAGCTGTACTGAACCTTATGCAATATAATTGTGACAGTTTATTCCGAATCAATAATGAACGTGCATTAACAATGGCCTCAGACACAGAGATTTGCAAGCTGCAATTTCAAAGAGGATATGAAAATTCCTTTTCAAGTGAAGATTTGGACGACGCGGAAAAAAATCGCAAGTATTTCATGACATAATAATCATGTTTTCATCCAGGGAAGCCAATTTGCTCTTTGCACAGTGCATTTAAAGAATATTTTACATATTTTTTTAGTTTCTTACTTGCACTGCATCTGATTGAGAAATACAGCACAGCACTCAATGCCTTTTACAATAATTGAACAATGACATCAAAAGCATCTTTAGCTGTGACCATTACAGATAAGGAAATGGGAGAGATATGGATCAGCTGGAACCGTGGGCAAATGAACACAATTTAAAGCTACTGCAAGAATACTATTTCTGGTACTTTTGGGGTAGTAGCAGTCACTTCTGTTGTGTCTGCCCCTAAATTCATCACAGAAAACCTGGAAATCATCTTTTGTACCCCCAGTAATAAGATCCACTGAAGAGACTCATCTCCTAAGCTAAGACAGAGAGGACTACAAGGAGGTAGTAGCCCCAGATCGACCAGTTTGCAGCCCTGTCATGATTCTGAAGTCAAGTTCTGAAGGACAGGCCATTGTTTCCCAGAAAAATTATGTTAGCTGGAACTGAGAAATCGCTGCATCTACCTGAAGTCCCACGGTGCCTGTGCAAGAGATTTAATAGCATGGAGACATCTGGTAGTACTTTGTTCTTCATGTTGGTTTACAGAAGATTCACAATCGTTTTGTACCTTACTAATCCCACTAGATAGGCAAAAGAACACAGCCAATTTCAGGTCTAGGATGGAACCGAAGGATTGTATCTCTGCTACCAGGTGAAGCAACTGCCGACACGGTTATAATGTTTAAGCTGTTGAATAGTTTCATCATTTAACCAGCACACCAGATATGACAGTTTCACAACTCCATTCAGCCTCCCATACGAAGTACTGTTCATTTACTTTAACAATTTTTGTAATTAATTTTATTTTCTTTACTTTTCTTGCTATATACCACGGGGCCAGGTTCTATTCCACAGGGTGAGAAAGACAGCAGAAGAAAACTTCACGTGAACCACAGAATCTCACCATGTTCACCCTGGTTTTGATTCCAGTAAATTACACTTGCCAGAAATAACAACACTCAGCCATTTGGCCAGAATGGTTTACACTGTTTTCCAGAGGACTAATTACACTCCCGTGTCACACAAGTTAACCACACTTACCCTTTGCATGTCCAGACTGAAAATACTCACACTTGCAAGTTCCCACCTAGAAAATAGCTGTTTCTTCTCTCATACAGATCAGATAACATTGTCTACTGTAAATGCACCATATTTGTAAGCAGTAGAACACCACTCATCAACCTAACGTGGAACATTTGCAAAGAATTTTCGCAAAAAAATTTTCTTTAAAACAAGCATGTTACTCTAAGAAATACGCTGCCTTCTTCCCACTCTTTTTCAGAGAGCTCAAGTAAACTTCACTTGGAATTTAGAAATATAGAAAGGGTTAATTAAAATCTGTTCAAGATAAAAACAGTAAAGTCAGTCTTCAAAACGTAGTGGTAGTTACATAAAATATCTTTCTAAAACTGAGTTTATTACATTCACTCTTTTCCCTTTGTCAGCTAAATCCATGAAGGGCACAAAGAATAACAATTTTATAAGTTTTCTTCTGCACAGGTCTCTATCAAATGGATCATTATATTAATCGACTCCATCACAACTGTTCTTAAATTAGTTAATGATCTATGTACGTGAGCTAGGCTATTATTTATTCTCTATTTTCTTTTCATAAGAGGGCACAAACTATGGTTGCTCTTTTCCCGCAATTTAATCATGATGCTTTCATTATTCCAGAGCTTCATTATTACCCTAAATGCATTTGTGACAATGTACTTTGTTTTTAGTTTTGTACAAATTCCTTTTAAAGGTCAGAGGGTTCCTAATGGCTTCTTGCCATTCTTCTCTTTTTCCCTGTCAGCACAGTCAGATAATCACCTCAGTAAACAAAAGTAACTGGCACCGATTTACCTTTTCTGCTACTTCTCGCACTGATTGGACACTTGTTCCATAAAGATGATTATTGTACTGGCCAGCTTCAATGAATTTGTGATCCTGAATATCCTTCTCCATTTGCTCTCGAGAAGTGACAAAATGGTAATCACGTCCATCCACCTCATAATCTCGTTTTGGTCTAGTAGTATCTTTAAATATAAACGAGTAATTTTTAAAGCAAAACAAAAAACAGTGACTTTTTTCCCTACAATACCCCAAAATAGTCTCCATTTATACTGCAAAATTGTCACAAGCAAAGAGATGACTGAAAACTAAGATAGCTCTATAAAATTTAGACAATACATTAACTTTTTTTAACGCAACATACAGAGCATGTCTATGGAGAAAATTAACACAAAAAATCATTTAGAATTGCTTTAGTATCTGCTGAGACTTACGTGGAACACAGGAGCCAAATTTGTCTGGAAATTCTGAGATCAGATCATCATTTATTCTGTCTTTCATGGGTCCCAAAACAATCACAGGTCGAGTGTAACTGACTATTAAACATAAAGGAATAACATCAGTTACATTTCAATATGATTGCTTTCTTTTACAGTTCAGCAAAATAAGCTCTATCACATGGTAATGGTTTTAATACCTAAAAGAATATGTACTCTTAAAAAGAAGAAAAACACATTGAAGAATGTGTATCAATTAATACAGTATTCACCGTAAGATGTTAGATCTTCACTCTCAAATCACTATCCTAGGGGATCAAAGGTATCTTAAATTATGAAGTCTTTTGGGGGGCAGGGGGGAGAATCTTTTCACAAAGTAACATCCTTCATTCCAATGAAAACAGCTAAAGGAGGAAGTTTGAAAATCTCTTCACTTCAAAGAGGTACCTAAGCAATAGCAGAGTTTGTGAAATTCTAGTTCTGTGTTGGGAGAAGCATCTTCTTCTCCTCTAAGACCACAACTTAAATACTCATATATGAAAAGACTCAACTATATATAGCTTCTGAAACTATTCACATCCTTATAAAATGAAGTACAGCATCTTTTAAAAGCAGCTTAATTTTTTTTACAAAGTTATAAAGGGCTGTTGGTTGGAAATTAAGCTCAAGCAGAAAATATCTGGTTACACTGCAAGAACCACAAAGGCAATAATGTCTAAGTATCTTGGCATGAGCATATAATTTCAGCTGTATAAATTTTAGTTTTAGGTTTGATCTGTCTTTCCTGCACAAGTAAGTCCAAATTAAATAAAGTCTGACCTATAAAATACATTTTAATTTGACTCTCAGTATTATTTCCTTTCAGGGGTATTAATACATTCATAAAAGCAATGTCTGGGATCCAGTAGCTGTCAACCTATTAATTTAACAAGAAACATCTTTGCTTAAAGACTAAGCGTGGCCCACTAGTGTCTCAAATCCAAGTACTTTTAAATCTGTTTTGGTCATTACAGTTCTTTATTCCTCTGGGCTTCTTAAAAAAAAAAAAAAAAAAAACAACAACCAAACCTGTGGAAGTGAATTAGTAGACAAATGTAGATAACATAGGCAGGGAACGTATTAGTGCACCTAAGCAAAGGAATGAGGTGCTGGTTCTTTTTATGGCCTTCCCCATACACTATTAGACTCATAAAGGGAGTTACAGTCATTTATTTAAATGCCAAAGCACTTGGCGCTCTAAAATCTTTAGTTTTACAATATGGTAGTTACTAAACCATCAGCTTGTGCAAAGTCTCATTCATGTCTTTTCTCTTCAGCCCTGACATTAATTCAGTTTGTATTACTACAGTACTCACAAAATCATTAAGTTGTCAGAATCTGGGAAGCTAATGCTAGCAAAAAAGATGTTTCTCATTTTGTGGGACCCTCTGGTAGGCATACACACACAGACCCAGCAGCTGCTTGTTTGAGGGTAACAAACCTCCACTTCCCCAGCTTAAGCATAGTTTGCTTAGCACATCAAAGGGGGCCTACCATTTCCCCATTTCTAGCATGGTCTCAACTCATGCATTTCTCATCCATGACTTTCTTTGGAGCCTACCAAAATTACAAATTACATGATATGAATAATGTAGTTTGTGTTAGTCTTGTGTAACAATTTGTACTACTTTTGGAAGCTTACTGACGAAATGGAGTCCATATACGACAATTAACAAGTTGGAGTGGAAAGTCTATACAGGCACACATGTTCCACAATGCTATTAAAAGCAACTGGGCCGTGCCACTCACTGCATGAATCCAAACATGAAATCTTGACACTCAAAATTCATGTAAATACATGTTGTATATTTATTCGACTGCCATCTTAATTTGACAGGTAATAGATAGCAAGTATTCCCAAAGGACATCCCTTTTATAGATTAATTTACAAATATATGAGCTATGTATCAGATAATGTAAATCAACTGTTAGCACCTGTGGTGGTGAATGGGAACACTAAAAATTCCGTATCTATTATACACAGTGAAGCAAGATCAGGACCAAGATGAAAAAGAAATGACAGCATCCCACTGAAAATTAGTGAAAAGCATTTTATTTTAAATGCAATTGTGAGAAAATATTTTGTCCCATCAATTTCCATTTCATTAAATTTTTTTTTTTCCTGGGGCGGGGGGGCATCACTTGGCAATTACTAACCAAATTGGCCATATAAGAAGCCCATACAGAAATGGGAGACTGCCATGTTTTAGAGACATTTCAATTAAAGCTTATTAAAATAGACAAATGATCTACTGACACACTTTTTGCTGTGACAGAAAAAAGGAACTGCACCAGTGAGAATGCTAAAGCAGTATGAACCAGAAGAAAATCATAATTTCTGAGGTTCACATTGACAATACTGTTAAACATTAAGATATTTTCCTTACACAATGTAAACCACACATAGTAAGTTATTTTAAGTAGCACACTCTTGGATTGTGTACTAAATTTAGCAATTGAATTTAATAATTTATGCCATTTTGCTTTTTTCATTTGAATAACGGTAACAAGTTCAAAACAGCGAAGGAGTTTATCATGGTGCTCAGTACATTAGGACACATGAAGCATTCTGATAATTCAGAATTTTATACTGAGATCTACAAACCTTCTTGTTGATTGACTGGTTCATATGACAAGACATATTCCTCTTGGCCACCTAAAATGTAAATGCAAAGACATATCTATGTATTTTTTTCTAAACCAACTTATTTAAATTGAGTCATTCAATGAACCATAATGATACAGACATTTCGCAGTAATATGCATTTCAATGATACTGATGAAGGACATTTTTCAAGAGCGATGAATTATAAAAATCACAAAGATAAGCCAAACACAAAATTTTAAAGCATAAGACACATACAGTATAAATAATTTCCCGGTTCATGTTAGCATGTCAGACTGACATCAAACACAAGAAGAATTTTAAAGCATTACTGAAATGCTCTTATACATGTTTCCCTGAATGAAATGCATGCATGTTATCATTCACTGCTAGAGGCAATGCCACCTTCATCAGGAACATTCTCCATACTTTGAAGCCAGCATTTACAGTAACATTTTTCTGTATTTATACACGGCTGACAATCATGTATGTCAAGGTGTACGTATCTTCCATTAACTTTGTTGTGAAGTGGCATTTATATAAAAACACCTTCAACCACTCTAATTCTACAAAAAAATATTATGATTGTATATACTAAATAACTATTATTTTATTACTGAATTTTTAAAGACAAACTTGAAAATAAAGAATGCCTTGTAATGTTCTCAGCTCCAGAAAGCACATCAGCAGTGAATGAAACTAAAAGAACTGGATTTTGACCTTTGACAGCTGCAGGCTTTTTAAATGTTAGTGAAAGCATCTGAAATATACCTCAGTTGCCATCTCTCTAAAAGATTATTTCTAGTCTAACAAGATATCTCCCAGTAAGATTTCTTGCAGTGGAATCACTACAAATTAATTCCATGACAGCAAAGAATTTATAATTCTGAAGATACAAGCTCAAATTATATGACATTACTATGAACTTTGAATAAAATACAGTCCTTCAATAACTTACTTGTGTAAGTTTGGAACATTCTTTGTAGTTCATAAGCCATACTTATAACAGGCAAAGGAACATACCAATGCTATACCACAATTGTGTAGAAACAGATGGCAGATAAAGGCTTTGATAAATTCATATATTGCTTCTATATAGCTATTCTTTATTTCATAGCAAATACCATTGATCTTTTAAATCTAAAGTTTATAATTTTATTAAGAGAAATACTTCTCTTATTTGCAATAAATTTGCATTCAAACCATACTACAGAAATACATGAATGAACATTTTAATTTTTTAAGTTATTGCAAGTGAGGAATACGTTAAGACAAGACATGAAAACATGCAACCTGTATACTTCAATATCTGAAGAAGTTACTCATGCAAATGGATTTTAGAAGGACAGTATATACTTTCAGAACCCCTTTTAGGTTATGGAGAAGAATAGGGAATCACTAGCTACCAACTCATCTATGAAAGATCCAGCTCACATATAATTAGATACTTCTTTAGAGAAGTCCCATCGCTATAAGGTCATAAATTAGTTAAGCAAACTACTAAAGAGATAATAACAAGTAAAAAGCATCCTCTGATTGAGGGTAAAAAGTATATATTGTCACTGCTTTTCAATACTTTGGAAAAATGAATATTAATAGAATGAACCTTTTGAACAACCGTACTCATCTGTAATCAAGATAACTTTCATATTAGACAGCAGTAAGAAGAAATTTAAAAAATCATTTTAATAAAAAGTGCTTGGAATTACACATTCAGATAAGCAAATCCATGACATTCGTAATAAATTCAGGGCTTCTCAAGTAAAAAACTAACTAGTTTTAAAACTCAAGTAAAAAACTAACTAGTAGTACCAATAATGAGCTTTAAACATACATAAAGCAAGCCCTGAGAAAAACTTGGGGGGAGGGGGGCGGAAGAGAGGAAAGCAGCAAATTTATGGAGAAACAGTCATGGTTGGATAGTTTTAATGGCTTGTCATTAAAAATGGTTAAAATTTGTAAGTCTGTCATATAGGCAAAGGCAATTTCTATACATACTTAATGTTGTGTTATTCTCAGGGAGCATGCCTCCCCCAACTGGTTTCTTTTCAATTACAGTCTGACACTGTTAGCATTGTAAGCACTGGGGATTTTATATACATGTATAAACTCTCTCCTTGAGTGTAATAATCTTGAAGAAAAAATGTGGATCATCACCTCTGAAAAGATCTACAGCTTCCAAACAAATATATCTGTTAATGAACCACCTTCCCTATCACCCTAACACAAATAATATCTGTTTCTGAAGTGTCCTTTATACAGTCAGCAGGCAATCAGGAGCTGATCAGTGGGCCACCCAGTGTCACACTGTGTGACTTTTACTGCTCCTTCTTTTCATATTCCTTCAAATCCTCAACTTCTTCATCTTCCTGCTCTGCTCTGTCCTGGTTTCCAGGTCTGGACTGTGGGACGTTACTGAGGTGGTGTTCACTGGAAATGACCACTGGGATTGCAATTCTGGCTCTGGTTTAAGACATTTTAAAGCATTGTAGAGCAGCATCATGCAGCATATTACCCACTGTGAACATGTAGCATTCTGTAGCTTGGGTAATAGTAAATAGCACTGTACCTTGGGCTAGTAAAAAAGCTAACTCAGTCTAGTATTTAAAAGATACTATGTCTTCAGAGAGAGAGAACGTGTATGTGTGCCTAGCATGCTGATTTATCATAACTGACTCCACTTAATATGTGCCATATGCTTTCAACACAATTCATACTAAGCACCCACACTTGACAAAATAGATAAATGAAAGCTGAAAGCAAGGGTAAATACATGTTTGCTTATCTTTTCTTTCACTAGAAGTATATACATATTAAATCTGAGTATCAGTTGTGGAAAATTGCAGATAGTTATTGCACTATTTAACAGATTACACTGTTCAGTTACACTTCCAGTATTAAGCTCCATTACATATAACTGTATTTGTCAGCATTAAATTTACATTTACGTTTTAATAGGTCTAGCTAGGTTGCATCATTTAAAAAAAAAGGGAATTGATTCAAATTAAGCTGGACTAAGAAAATCACAGATCACAATAAAAATATCCATAAAGGAGGTTTGCAATGATTCTCTCTAGTCAGTTTTTTTAAAAACAAAAGACACCGCAGAATTCACAGTACCCCACCAAACACATGAATATTGATTTTACCTGAAGGTGACTCAGAAGTTCTATTTAATATGTAAATACCCAGAAAAGACAGACAAACTAAACCAAAGAAAGAGCTACTGAACAAAGATTCTAAATAAACAAAAAACTTAAAAACACTTACGGTAACTACTTTCACTATCGCTGGCATTAGAGGTTACATGCTCTGAAATTGCAACACAATGGAAAAAAAAAATAAGGAACATACACTAATGGCATGATTCCAAAAGAAAACAAATTGACACAAAATAATCCAGATGAAAGACAATACTGATATCAAAATGCTGAAATCAATACATACTGCATATAAAAGTTTTAAGGTACTTCTCATAGCTCTCAGGATCAAGCTTAATATCGTACGAAAGGAATGGATGTTAATAAAAAGAAAAACATTAAACAGCACATCAAAATAAGATTACAAAAAGTACACTAATTAATAGTTCACATATAACCCTGCAATTTTTAGGTTTTCACTTCAAGATGAATTTTGTTGTGCAAAAACTATGGGATTATGCACGTCAACTTTTATGCAGGCAATTTATTGATTATATTAAGAGTCTTGCAGCAGAAAATACTGGACTATATTGCAAGAAATATAGTGTAGCATGTTCAATAATAGACACTCTCCTATGGTACATTAAATACTTTACCTGAAGTGCAATGCAGAATTAAGATTCCCCCCCCCCAGGTAATGCTTTAGTTTTCAAAAGCTCCCGACTTTTATTCTGGACTATCTCTATCAATTTCATGCCTTCTGCATAGTAATCAAAATACTTCAGTAGCTACAAGGTGTTTATAATTTACTTTTTTAAGCTACGTAACTGTGTTAAATATGTTTCTGATAAAAATCAATGCAATTAAAGAATTTCAGGTATCAATCTATTCTGTTGCCTGAAAATTCTACAGATCTGGTGAACAAATATGAACTTTGATATTGCTGAACTTTATTGTGAAGAATCCATTTTTATGCCACCCAATAAGTGTGCTGATTTGTAATGAAAAACACTAACATTCACAGGTTAAGACTGCATAAAGGAGCTTGTGTTTGACCTATACAAATTAAGCAAAATTAAATTTGAAATTATGTACCTAACTGTGTGCATATGATAACACATATTGTTGTCATGAGGAGCCTTTATAATACATTAAATTCAGTGCGGTTCCTCCCCTATGAGATTGAAGAGAAGGAAGCAAGGGGACTCTAGAGGTAAAAATGTAGTTATGAAGCAAGTATGCTTCTAGTGATTAATAAACATTAAAATAAGTTACAGTCATCATATGTAAACTAATTAACCTTTTAAAATGTTTTTGGATTAAGTGAGCCAGTATCTTAAAACCACAAATCTCTGGCTAGACTGAGCTCCCTCACTTTATTTCTGTGCAGGAAAAACAGACCAATATTTCCAAATGTTTGCGAGTACCAGCAATTTGTATCTACTTCCATTTCATTTTCTTGTCTCAGAAAAAGAATGTCCACATTGGCATGGAAGAGGCAAATAGTAATGTTAAAAGCCTCGTGGTAGAACATGAAAGACAGACATTGTCAACTGAGAATACAAGTGTTATGATAGTCTGATAATGGGCACAATTGGTGAAGATAGAAAGCCTGAAATGCCAGCAAGAACAGCAGTCTTGCAGAGCCCAAGTAACACAGCTTGCATTATGCGTTGTGAGGCAATTTCAAGAAGTCTGACTGTGCTGAGAGACAGGCTAGAAGTCATTTGTTTTTACAACAGAATCACCTAGTGACATTTCTGGACCATATTACATAGTTTAAACTAGGCATGATCATAGGGCCATGAAGGCTGCTAATGATCTTCTGCTCTAAACCATAAGGCCATAAAGGTTGCTAAGGTCATCTGCTCTAGACCAAGAATTACCTTGAAACTAGCCATTTCAGAAACGGAATATTATTGTTACAGCTACTAGAATATTTATTTCATGACTGAGGCCAAGTATAGAAGTATACCGCTTCCTACATGTAATTTCAGGAACCCTGTGCATAACACTTACATGCTGGGAAGAAATGTTATCTTTAATGATCTTTAGTCACTCATCTTTAATGACTAATTTTACTATTCCATGAACACATAACAAGGTATGTGTTTAATCTGTGATGGAAGCAAGGTCTTGACTTTTTTTTTATTTGTCATTTTAGTGCAGTGGTGGGGTCTGTGTACACAAACAGATCTGTTAGAGTACTCAGCAACTTTTGAATCTTACTGTATTCAAGAAGCTAACATTTCTGCAGGAAACACAACTAATGCTTATGTGTCTCCTCTATTAGCTACCCCTCTACCTGGTCTAAAAGCATCACAAGAGTTCAAGTAAGTCAGACAGAAAAACTCTCATGGCATTTGTTAAGCAAAGTTTTTTTGTTTGTTTTAAGTAGCTGTAAACATCAGTCACCTAGAGAGAGGATTGAAAGCTGTAACTAGTTAAAGTGTTACGGCAATGGTTGTACTGTAAAAAGCCATAGGTTATTTTTAAATAAATGAAAACACAAAGACAAGATAAAAGCGACAAAAAAAAAATCACCATATTTAAAACCACAGTACTATTAAGGACAAACAAGTAAGCACTGGTAAGCTTCTGAACAACACAAAAATCTAATGTGATAGTCACATGAACTTAAAGTATCACGTTCCTGAAAGCGAAAACCCCCGTAACATTACAAACTAGAAAAAGCTTATGAAACATTTTTAGAGTCAACCTCCTTATGCCAGTAGAGCACCAGTCTCAAAGAGATCTGTTAAAAAAAAAATAGTAGTAATTTTTCAGATGGAGGTTAAAATAACTTGGGAGTATTTTGATCACTTACTCAGGCCTTTTGATCCCATGTCGTCAGGGACCTCCTGCAGAGTAGTCCCCAGAGGGCAAGCAATAAAAAGACAATCACAGAGAAAATAATTGTCAGTAATATATAAAATTGGCGCTACGACAGGAGACAGTTCCCAGAACATCACAGGGGAAGGTAAGTCTGTAAGATTTGACCTGACTGGCACATAAAGTGTAATCAGCGATGCAAACAGCAGAGAACGCAGTTTGTAGTGGACCTGGTCTCAGCTGACAAACTTATGCAACTGCTTTTTGAGAAGACGCTTTTTTTTTGTGCTGGCAACAACAATGAAAATCAAAGTAACCTCTCTTCATTAGGAAAACCAAATTAGAATGGAATGACTTTGAAGTAGCCAGTCTAAAAGGACTCATTCGAGAAGCTGGTAAGCTGTTATACTATCTTCGTTGCTGTGTGCTCTCCTCCAAGGCAGAAATGAGGAACCATCACTGACAGCGGTGGAAGGCTGTATCTTCTCCAGTTACGCACACACTGTTACTCAAGAGCGTTACCCAGTTTATTCCAAACTCGGATACTCTTGGGTTAAATTTTACTTTAACAGCAAACAAACGGTTTTATTGTTTTTGTAGATCGGTTTGTCATTGGCACCTCAAGCTTGTTAGCCTGTTGCAGCTCATGAAACTGTCTCCACGGTAACACCCTACTGCAATCTAGCAGGCCCTTCTACGTGTGCTTCGCTCTCCATCGAATGCCACATACTTACGGTCAATATCACTGGTTTCCTGCTCACTCTGGTCCTTGTTCTTGTAGAAGGGAAATTTTCGGGAAAAGAGGTTCTTTTTACGCTTGTCATTGAATGACTGCTGAAGAAGAGAAGGAGGGGCAAAACAAAGGATGTCTAATGTCTGTGTGAACAAAGGCCCAGACCAGCAGCTTTGTGGAAGCTGACTCCTGTAACCACATTATGCAGTGCATATTTCAGTTTAACATTATCTTCTCAGCTCATTAAAAATAGAGATCGGGATCATGGCTTTGCTCACACCCTCTGTATTTCACATGCTTAGTACTGAGAGAACTGGCAGGCTGCTTCATCCTACATGGCCTGGCCTGTATTTCACAAATGTAGGCCTGCTGAGCGTACAAAAAGATGGGAAAAACCAGGCTGCTATAAGATGGCCAAACCATAATGAACTCAAGTCAATTAAATCACTGATATTGTCTAATATAGGGGTTACAGTATTTTAAAAAAATCAGAGGCTTTAGACATGCTTTTGCAAACAGCTGACATCGTAACAGCACACAGAAGTATTTGCCAGTGTTACCCATTTGCAAAGGCAAAACTGTAAATACTTTGGTGACAACTGCTAAATAACTTATCGTACAGTAAAGAAAAATGGAAGTTAAAACCTAGCACTGTACTGAATGCTCTTATGATAAAACTAAGTAACAGTGAAATAGGAAAAAGGAAGAGAGAAATGTGTCTAGCTAAAATATCCAAACAATAACAAAAAGAAAAAAAAACCAAAACCCCAAACTGTATTTGTTTCAATCTTTCACAATTGCATTTTGTTGCATGTTCACCGAAAGAAATTACTTTGCTCTACATAAGTCTGCATCCCAATACCAAGATTAATTTTCAAAAGATATGAACTCATTTCATTTGTTTGCTGTGGCAATTATTTTTTCAAGGGTGCATTTATAGAAGAATTACAACGTGAAAAACCCTGCACGTTCAAGGATCATGTTCAGCAACTTTTGACATTAACTGCTTGTGTTGCTGAAGAATTTCTGCATCTCAGTTACTAAGAAAATTTCTAGAGTTAACTACATAGACATATACACATCCACCCATTTGAATATAAACTATTATCGTGCTCCTTGTCTAAGTAACGGAGAGCATCAATGTATTTTCATTCATATATAAATATGTCTACAGGTGTAATTAACACAGAATTTACTAATACCTGCCACATCTCCTG